TCATTCTATTTTTTGACTTTTCATACACAACTCTGACCACAGTCGACAGGGAAAGCTTATTTTTCAACTTACCTACGTATATGTGTTTTTATTTGAAATTTCCATATTCAAATATGTAGTTAGTAAATGCATTCATTTGATCTTTATATAAAGAAAACTTAATCTAAATCTAAGTAGTAAATTTTTGATATTAAACTTTTTATTTTCATATTGCCAAAAGTACTTTTGATAATTTTTAATTCTGCTTTTGAGGATTCAGTTCTTTGAAACTGAGGTTAGCTTCCTCATTCCCATAAGGAAAATGTGAACACTAAGAGATTCCTGCAAGTCATGCATTCAATACTACCATTATCTGATTATCTAAGTTTTTGTCATATTGAAATATCATATTTAGTTAGCATCCTGAGTGAATTTTTTCTTATTTCAATTTCACAGATTATGCTTCCTTTGAAAAACCTTCAACGAGCTTGCTGCCACCATCAACTTGTTCGAGATACTTTTGTAGATGTCCAGAAAAGGTATTTTTTTAAATATGTATTCAAATTTAATGCATATTCTGAACTAATCTCATTTTTAATGATACAAAAATTTGTATGTTTGCAGCAATATATCAATGTCTGCATTGCTTAATCATTTACTTCAGAAGTCACTTTATGAATGTGAGGAGGCTCACAGAGCTGCACTTTGTGCTATGAATGGTAAATATACAGCTTTAGTTTATATTGTATTTAAGTAGTTGTAACTATTATGTAGTTGTTTCATAAATTTTATTTGTACTTAATATACCTTAGAAGATCATCAGTATGTCATAGATGCTACGTTCACCATTGTTTTAAATTGCAACAAAAGCACTATTTTAAGCCAGGGTAAAAAATTTGCCGTTTATGGTGTCCAGTAAAGGGATTAGAAAGTTGTACATATTCATTCCTATATATTTTATTTAATATAGACTGTGTTTGTTGTGTTAAAGCTGGCAGCATTGGGAATGTAGCCCTTGTCAAACCACTGAAAACAGCAGAAAACTGAAATTGATAATTAAGGGCCTCCGTCATGTACCAGTAAGTGCATCCCAATTGCTAAGCTTGTCACCTAACTTTATATACATATTATGATTGCAGATTTAGGAATCTTGAAACAGGATACATATTCACATTTTTACTTGTTGTGCACACCTACTATTTTTTTTTGTTATAGCTGTATTTCAGTTATTAAAATATACATGTTGCATACCTGTAGGTCTGCGAAACTTTACCAAGCCTGATTGGCGAATTTAGTGAGTTAGATAACTGTAAATAAGGATGCAGTTAGTTCAGCTGCACAGAGCAGACAACCTCAGCAGCTTGCCTGCTTTTTATTGCCCTGAAGCATTCATGTTTTGATATCTAGTATGTTCCGCAAGTATGAAATGGTAACTAGATCTACTTAAAGTTCATAACTTGTGAGTTCTCGCAAAGGCATGAAAATGAACACAAAAGTGAAAGGGTGCAAAAGACCATTTTATTTATCACTTATTGTGAGAACTTAAAAGTAATTTAACACTAAAGTTAAATGGTAAAGGTGTATTACTAGAATACACAATTTAATTTAATCTAACAGGCTGACTCAGAAACCTACACCGGCAGTATACTAACTAGATGGCTAAAATGCATAACCATTACTGAGATTAACAACTGGAGAACAAAATAGCAAATGTTTGCTTCACTAGCAAAATCACACTGTGTCCTAACCTTTTTGTTCCAACAGTTTTTTCACCTACTTTATTTACATATTGCTGAGAAAATGCAAGGATACACAAGAGAATTCTGGAATGGTTAAGACATTTAAATAACTATTTGTGAAAGTAAATAGGCCCCTATGCATGTTATTTATATCCATTAACAGCATAGTATGGTTCTTTCAACAAGTAAGCTTTTAAACTGGATACGTAAATAATTGCATTGCTCAGAAGCTATTTTGCATATAAGCAGTGGCGAGTGATAAAGACCGATATACTGTGTTTGCCTTTAATTGAACTTCAATGCAAGTATATGTATTGAAGCAGTTTTCACTGCCAAGATGCTAGATTAGTTTGTAGGAAAAGTAGTGAAGTATTAAATGGCCAAGATCTATCATCATTGCATGCGAGAAAGTCAGCAAAGAAAACATGGGAGAAACTTCATATTGTATATAAGTCTAAAGGAGCGGTGAATTAAATACTTATCAGGAAACACTTGGAAACCATAAAGCATTTTCATGAATTCCCAATAGAGAAGCATCTCAATGAAATGAAGAAACATTTGGGTTGATTTATGACTATATGGTGAATTAATACAGTAGGTATGGATATAGTAATTTGTATTTTGATTTCTTTTCCATTAGAATTTGAAAATGTAAATGTTGCATTAGATAATCAATATAATTTCAATTTAACTGTAAAGTTTGTTACTGGACCTATAGATATTGAAGCCCTTTACAACGACTCAAAAGATGTATTATCATTCAATGAAAGATACGACTCAGTTATCATTCATTGAAAGAAAATGTTGCATTTTCTGCTAGTCAAAAGGAACTTATCTGCTTTCAGTGTAAAAAGAAAAGGCATTATGCAAAATGGTATAAGAAGATTCTGTTTTAAATGTAGGAAACTTGAACTTCTGCAACATTACTGTGAATCAAAATCATTCACTAAACAAGAAGCATGATCTTTTCAGCGATTTTGTTTGTTGCAGGAGATAACATAAAAGGTTTATCATGGACTCTGAAGCTACTTCTAACTTGTATTCACATACACAGATAATAAAAATAAGCTTTTCTTTATTTCTTCTAAGTTAGGCAGTGGTATGCAATGTGTATTGTGTTTATCTGCTTTAATTGTGAAAGGTAGGGGCAAAATCTCTGGTAAAACATCCGTTGTTGTTCAGATAACTCTAAAAAAAAGTCTCTTTATGTCAGATCTGAATGTTGAATTAATATCAGTGCAAAATATTGAAGCTGCAGGTTTTAATGTAATATTTAAGAATCAAAAGGTGTTCAGTGACAGCAGAAGTAATAGTGTATGTTTTAATTATCATGATAATTATGCCCAATATGTTCGTGATTTTGTACCAGACTATGAAGCTTCATTACTAGCAAAAGAGAGTGATACTGATTTGTGGCGTTTTAGACTTAATCATTATTCCAATCTTGTACTCAAGATGCTGGGATTTTTGTATTTGTAATCATGCTGGGAAGTTTGCATCTACCAAATAGAGTTGCTACACCAAGAAAGGGGGTCAAGGCAAAGATAGATGGAGCCAATGGTTGGAATATATACAGATATATGTGGTCCAGTTACACCAGCTACACAGGCAGGTGACATCATTTAATAGCTGGTATTTCATAATTTATTGAAGTTCACTTGTTGAAAAGGAAAAACCATGTGATAGATGAGCTGAGAACTTTTCTGAAGATAAACCCTTCTGTAAGGATAGTTAGACATGACAATGCCAAAGAATACTTAAACAGTGAACTAATTACATTTGCCATTAAAAAAGGGGTTATAATTGATCCAATTCCTTCCAATACCTTTTGGTAAATGGCTTGGCAAAAAGAGCTAACCAAACCCTGCTAGAAATGGGGTAGGCTCTAATTCTTGAATAAAAAGTTCCAAAATATCTCTTTGCTGTTGCTGCATTAATCACAGTTTATCTTCATAATAGAGTTCCTAATAGCCCTTATTGAAAACTGTACACCGTACATCTAAAAATACAGTAAAAATATTGATTTGAAAAATGTTTAGCTGTGAAACTTGTATGTTAATATTTGGCTGTCATCTAAAGCATCACCTCCACAGGTTAGCAGTTAGGGATGCTGAGTGCTGGTCAGACCTGGAGAAGGCATGGATGTTTGTAAGCACGTAGTGTCTGTGTGGCAAAAGGTCACTCGAAATATACTTGAGTCAGAAGTCCATGAGAGGTGGAAGGTAGAAAAAGGTGAAAACTTTCAGATTGCCACTGGGGTGTTTTCCCATCATAATTTGGGCATATACTTTACAGCCAGCAAAGCCTGGCAAGTTTGCCAAGCGATGATCTTAATACAGTAACAGGGCTTTAATAATAAAAAACGATGGTAATAATAAAAATAAAAATAATAAAAAACAATAAATAAAAATTTAATAATAAAAAAACAATTAATAAAAAAAATGGCCTCCATGCTTTGACATTTTCTGACCTGTCATTAAAAGAAATTTGATGCTAAAGTAAAAGAAAATGCTGTTTGTCTTATATTCTATTATGGTGTATCATTAATAGATCCAGTGACAAAGCACATTTTGATATCCAGAAATATCAAGCTGATTGAAGAAAAGTATATTTCTATGAATCCTAATTTTCTCGAATAGAAACTGAAGATTGAGATCTAAGGTACAGTTGAAAGCACTTCCAAAGATATAAGTGATGAGAATACACCACGTAGTGAGCCAAGTGGAAAATGAAAAACCTGCAAGAAAAGAAAACTGCCAAGCAGACAGCCTGAGCCAGAAGTGAATGAAGCTGCGATTGTTAATCAAGTAACTGTGTCATATGAAGATATTGTTAAAAATATATGTAAATGTGCCAGTCCCAATATTTACTTTATGAGAATTGGCACAAGTTTTGTTGTCATTCACCCTGTTGGTGTGCATAGCTGTGGTTTTGCTGCCCATGTAACTGATATTCCAATATATTTTTATTTGTCGACCTGGACTATGCCATCTTTAACCCACGAATAATTATCCATTTTTTATCACGTTATCAGCACGAAAAGCTCAAAAGGAAATGCCATTGATCAGGATTGAAGATCGCACGAAGCCAACCGCGCCGATCGCCGGAGCCTAACCACGTTGTGAATGAAGTGAGCTGGATAACCATCTTTAAAGACGTAAATAAAAATTGTTTGGTAATTTAGCTCGATATATTTACTTAAAAAAGGAATCTGAAATTATAAAAGCCGAAACTAAACGGCGATAATTATACACATGGTGTATATGTCGGTGCCGTGCTGGTGCAGAAGAGATGTTGGGAGCAGTGGAACCCGGATATGGAATTGAAATGAATGAAGCGGAGAGGAAAACGAATGACGAAGCTCTTCCCTATTATTCCTCATAGTTGAGATACTTTCTAGATGATCGGAGATTGTATTAGAGCCAGAGACGCCTGGAACGTTAAAAGAAAGGCATACAAATTCGTTGCTTCACGTACTGCAGCTTATGAGAGAATTTTAACATAAATATGAAGCCCAAATGAGTCTGTCCAATCCATCTAGCAAGATTAAGGACTTACATAGAAAAAAAGGCTAATGGTGGTATGCATTCCAAGATAGAGAAGTGGCCCTAGTGATGCTGTTGGGACGCCTAGGAAGTTATGAATCGCTATCTAAGTTTGGAAAAAAGATGAAGCAAATCTGAAAACGTGTGAACCAAGGCTACTCGTAGAAGAGAAACGTATAGTCAGAAATGAGAGTCAGCCAAAGTGTATCATGAAGAACAAGCTCTTCACACTAAAGTTTGCCACTAACAGAAGCCGCATTGGAAAACCCATGAAGAAGTATGCAGCTAAAAGGCCAAAAGAAGAAGAAACTAACAGAGGAAGAAATACTAATGCTTCAGCTGTGGCAGTGGGGCACATATCTAAAATGTTGAAGAGGCAAATATCAGAAAACAAAACAGCGCCAAAACTGCGTTGACTCAAGACAAACATTGCACTTTGGCAAATGAAGGAAAATCAAGAAAAAGTATCGTGGATTTTAGACAGCGGAGCTACAGAACACATGACTCTGATAAAGAAAATTCTCAGTCTAAAAGTACACATCTGAAGTTGACTAATTCAGAAAGAATAAGGTCACTGGAATTGGAAATATTTCATTTTGTTGGAGAAGAAACGGAGAAAAAAAACATCACTATTGAAAATGTCCTATATGTTCCAGAACTAGGAGGAAATCTATTATCCATTGGTAGAATTGAAGAAAGCGGCTTAAAAGTAGAATTTGCTGAACGAAAAGCCCAAGTGATTGGTAAGAATAAAGATACTCTTTTATCTGGTGAGAAAAAAGGAAGACTATACGTAATCGAAGAAAAGATGGCAACTGCCTTCGCTACGAAAACTGAAAGTGCCAACTTGCTGCATCGTAGACTTGGTCATCCACGTTTTTGTACAACAAAAAATATTGTCCCCATCGGCAGAAACCTGAAAATAGTAAATGACCCTTGCCAAGTCTGTATTCAGGGAAAAATGGAAAGGAAGAAATTTCCAAAAGCCGCTAGTACAAAAGCTAAAACACATCCTGAAGTTATACATTCAGTTGTTGGCAAATTTCCCCCCTTCCTTTGGAGGCTCAATTACTTTGTGACTTTCACGGATGATGATTTTCTCACTATACCACGCATTCCCTATGAAAGCCAAAAGTGACGTACTAGAAAAATTTGAGGAGAAGTACCGTTGATGCGAAAATCTCCAAAACAGAAAAATCAATCTGAGAAGTGACAATGGGGGGAATATATAAGTGGAAAGTTTGACAAGTACTTGCTGCGCATGGGATCCAAGACAACTAACTGTCCTGACACGCCTCAACAAAATGGTCTGGCTGAAAGACGAACCAAACATGATAAACACAACAGATGTTGCTTTTGAGTCCGGAGCAGAGCACAGGTTTTGGCTGAAGCAATGGCCACTGCGGCCTATCTCCACAACAAGCGGCCATCTATGGAATTGATGGCGATATTCCGGAGGAGGAGGAACGATGGTCAGGGTATTGGAAGCAAAAACAGACCACCTCAGAGTTTTGGATGCAGAGCATGGAGCCTGTTCGCTCACACTCAGAGGAAGCAAGCTTGATCCTAAAGCTACAGAATGTGTTTTGTGGGATATCCTAAAGAGTTAAAGGCTACAATTGTATGATCTGAAGAAGAAACATTTTTTTGTCAGCAGAGATGTCATTTTTGAAGAAAATATTTTCCCCTTAAAACTAAGCAAGTGTGACAATCCTGCAGAAGAAACTGCTCTTAAAATTGAAGACTTTGAATCAGAATATCCTCTGGACCTACCTGAAACAGAAGCTTGTGACTCATCTGTAGATCACATAACTCCTGGTGTAAATGACTCGGATGAAACCCAATATCTAAATACAGATCCGATTGACCAAAATTCTGAAAGATGTCCAAACCTACAACTCGAAAATACCCCAGATTACGAAGATGAAGGCCAATCAGTTACACAAGTACGAGACTTTGCTAACAACCGAGATCCCGAAGTCTAAGTAGCAACCAGAAATACTACCCATGGGAGTGAGAGAGGTGAAAAAAGAAATACCAGAGTTCCTAAACATTTCGAAGATTTTTATCCGTACGATGCCCAAGAGATACAACAATTTGAAGAAAAGTATCCAGTAATTCTAAAAGATGTACTGAAATCACCCGAAGTTGGCCTGTGGTTAAAAGCCATGGAGGAAGAAATTCAAAACCTCACTCAAGCTCCAACCTGGGAACTAACTACGAAACCATGAGGAGCTAAGGTAATACCATCCAGATGGTTGTTTCATAGGAAAAAAGATGAGATTGCGAACCAGCAAAGTTCAAAGCCAGATTGGTAGCAAAAGGCTATCTGCAAATGCCTGGAGTGGACTTTCAAGACACCTTTCACCAGTTATCAAACTCAAATCTGTAAGATTATGCTTGCGTAGCTGCGAAGAAAACTAGAGTCACCAAAGGGATGTAACAGCTGCATACCTTAATGGAATCCTAGAAGAGACATATATATAGCACAGCCAGAGGCTGCATTGAGAAAGGGAAGAAAACCTTGTCTGCCCACTGAAGAAAAGCATCTATGGTCTTCGACAATCAGGACGTGCATGAATACTTGCTGAATGACTTCTGATCCAGTATGGATTGAAAAGGTCAAAGCAGAACCTTGTATTTACTTTTTGCATGAGAATCATAATGGAGTTATGTTGATGACCTTTGATAGTGGAAACATCCAGAGATAAATGAATTTCAGGAAGCGAAAAGGTTCAGTGTCAAGGACCTAGGTCCTGCAAGCCAGATCTTATCCATGCGAATATGCAAAGAAGATAATGGGTCATACACACTAATCAATCGTTTATGCATCAGAAATCTTAGAAACATTTAAAATGACGAAGCAAAATGTGCATCCACACCACTGGCCCCAGCATAAAATATAAAAATGTAGATGAACAGCGTGGGAAGAGGAATCAAGAAAACAGCAAGGAATCCCTTATAGACAAGCTATTGGAAGTCTCCTTTATCAGACTTGTGGTACTCTCCCAGACATGGCTTATTCTTCCACCTACTTGAGTCAATTTAATGAAAAATACACTTAAGAACACTGGAGAGGTGTGAAGTACATTCTAAAAAACCTAAAGGGAACACGACTCAGAAAGTTGAGATTCCAGAAGACAAATGAGCCACTTCAAGTGTACTTAGATGCTGACTCGGGAGGTGACAGAACTGACCGTAAATCTTACAGTGGTTATATAATGCTACTCTGCAGGTGCTCCAATCTTCATGGTCGAGCAAGAAGCAACCCACAACAGCTTTATTGTCGACAGAAGCAGAGTATGTGGCAATGTGTCACACTGCCAAGGAAAGTCCTTATGGATTAAAAAAGACAGATTTCTTTCCTTGATCAAATTTTTTAATTTGATCAAGGAAAGAAATCTGTAGTGAATTAGCTGCTTCACCTCAAAAAGTGCTTAGTCGACAACCAGGGAGCAATATTCCTAGCCAAGAACAATGTTACTTCTGAAGTAAGCACATCGATATTAAATTTCATTTTCTGAGAGACCTAGTGATAGAAAATGTGATTGTATTTGATCATGTGCCATCCAGCGACAATCTCACTGATCTCCTAACTAAGCAGACCTCAAAAAAAAAAAACTTTTACATGACATGAACTATGCCGGGACTTGCATGTAAAAATGATCTCCTTTGAAGTTTGTGACTGAACATAAACCATTATGATAGTGATTGTGTAGAGACTTGACTTAAGATTTCAGAAAGAAGCCTAGATATAAATTTTCTTAATTGTTTTCATATAAACATTGTGTTTTCTAGTATAACTTAATATGTGTTCATTTAATAATGTAATTCATAAGTAGAGGTCGATAGTGTTTATGCATGTAATAGCACTACATTGTTTTTCTGTAAATGTGTACAACCACAGCGTGATTAATTTTTGTGAAGTATGTAAATATCTTGCAAATAGTGTGACTGGCAAGGGGGCGTGTTAAAAATATATGTAAATGTGCAGTCCATATTTATTTATGAGAATTGGCAACAACAGTTTGTTGTCATTCTATCCGTCTGGGTGCATAGCTGTGGTTGCTTGGTCCCATGTAACCTGATATTCCCAATATATTTTTATTTGTTCGACCTGGACTATGTCATTTCTTTAACCCACGACTAATCTCGATTTTTATCAGATATATCTGTGTTACCAGATGATGAACAAAAATTATAGAAGGGCATGTATAGAAATAACAGAGTATGAAGTATAGTGATGTTTGGGTTCTAGAACAATTACAATTTGGGCCACTGCTTAGGCTTAGGTTTATAACTAGTGGTTTCTTTTTAGTGTGTGTGTTGGTGGGGGGGGCTTATGAATTAATTCTACAGGAAGATACTGTATGTATACACATACATGAATATGTAATGCATATTAACCTGTTATTTATGCGTTATTTTACATTTTAAAATTGGAAAATTTACCTGTGGTAAGTATGTAAAAAAAATATTTTCCATTTTCTAAAAATGTAGTATTACTGGCCATATTAAATCTGGTATTTTTATTGGGAGAGCCTTTATTAACAAGCTGTAGTATATGCAGTTATCATATAAGCAGTTGCAGGCATTTAGTCTAATGATTTATTGTATGTATGTATGTATGTATGTATGTATGAAATCTTTCACTGTCATTCTTTAATTTCTAAAAATATTTAAGTTTCATTAGTACTATATTTAGAGACATAGTATACTTTTTTTCCTTTCTTTTTCAACAAGAATTTCTGATACTGTTTTAAGGCAGTGTTTCATGTTGCAGGTTTGGCTGGAATTTATTCATTGCGAGAAGATTATGAGAGTGCTTGCAAAATGTATAAAAAAATATTAGCATCTATTGAAGAATATAGTGCAAATGTTAGAACTGATCCACTTCAGCACATCCATGTATTGTATAATTTTAGTAATTTAATTTTATCTCTTGAAAAGGAAGTAGTGGCTAATACTCCTGGACTTCTCGAAATCCTTCAGAATGTAGACTGTGAAGAAATGAAATCCAAATATAACCTTCTTTGTGAGAACTATGTGCGTAGACATCGAGAGGGACTTCGTAATTATTGGGACCATAATTCTCATGTAAGATGTGATGTTGAGGTAACTTTCCCGTTATTCAAAAATGAAAAAAAAGGATTTACTGAATCAAGTTGGTGGTATGAAATTTTTCAAAGGTTAACTGAGAAAGATAGGCAAACCTTTATAGAGAAAGTAAAGGATATGTTAATAGATGATGCTCAAAATGTCCATGTGAAAGAATTACCATCAGTTGCTCACAGGTTAGTGATTTAAAACTTTAATATATCGTTAAGTTTAAGTATGTACTTGTGTTTTATAATTTTGCATTATGTCAAATAGAATAAAGAGAAATGTTAAAATAAATAATGAAATAGGAACTAGTTTATAATAAAAAAGGAGCTTTTTGCAAAGATTCTTTTTATTAAATCTCACGATTTTAGATAGTTTTCATTTATATTATTCATTATTATTATATTATTACTGCATCTTGACAGTCACCTTTTTTTGCTTACAGTTGTACAGTTTTTAATTTGCTAATGCATGGCTTTTAAAGAAAAAGACATGTATATTCAAAATAAACTATTTCTTTTCAAATTAGCATTGGAGAACTAGTAATTTATTTCAAATTGAAATTCCAAGTAAAAATTTATAGGATCTGACAAAATTTGTTTTTATATCTTATCAGGTGGCTCAAATACACTGAAGGAAAATGAGATCCTAACTTGGGTGGTAAAAAAAAGTTTGGGGGCTGCTTGACATCTGAAAGCTGATGACAGAGTTGCCACGCTACCTGGAAACCGGAAAAAAAGTCAGGGAATTCAGAAATTCACCAAAAAAAATAGGGAAAAAGTCAGGGAATTTAAGGTTCAGTCAAAATCTGGAAAAAGTCAGGGAATTCATACAACGACCCGCCAAAAAGGCGAGTTTGCGCCGACCGGAAGAGAGCACTTTTTGGCGAATTGTGTATCACGTGAGTGTCATTGGGCAGCTGGACAGAGCCAATTTCACAGCTTCAATTTGATGTCTTTTTAGAAAGGCAAGGCAAGTTCCCAACTTTTGGTTTCCAGTACCTCGAGAATCGCATGTGCAGTGCATGAACTAAAGAAAGTACCTGTTCGTATAAACAAAATGGATCTAGGATAACATGTAATAACTATATTCGCAAAATATCGTGATTATTCTAATTAAATTTTTAAGTAATTATTTATTTTATGTTATTCATATCAATTTAATGTTGCTTCTTCCTCTAAATTTATTTATTATTAGTAAATAATATTTCCAAATTTCAGGAAATTTTCTCTGGCATAATCCTGAAATTAATTCTAGCAGTATGATGACATCACGAAATTTAATGCACATATTTTTTCCTTATGTATGCTGCGAAATAAATATAAAATAGCTCTCAATTTAGTAAAAAAATATCATAAATAGATTTCTTTCTTTCGTTTAGCTGCAGAATGTCTGCAAAAAAAGCCTTATTTTATTCCAGATTGGGCAGATTCTAATCTCAATCTTCAGTGGAGAAAACAACTATTATAATTATATTTGTGTTTTCAAGTGTTAAGGTGCCTTTTAAGAATACACCTCACACAAATTAAATTTACCTAAAATCTAATCTAACTTTTAGCATTGCGTTGTGATTTATAAGAACCGGATTAGATTGAACTGGGGATGATCATGAGTAATAATTAAATAAAACGTACAGTTGTTATCCAATGTATATATCGTAAATTTTATTAAGTTTCTTAAGCGGAAAAGTAAACAAAATTATCAAACAAAGTGTACCAAGTGTAACAAGAATAATTAAGTGTAACAAGAATAATTAAGAATAAATTTCCTCTGGGATTTATTGAATAATTAAGTGAATTTGTTACACGGTACAAGTAATACCATAATTAATTTACCTCTTAGCACAGCCAACGTACATTATGTGGATAGACTGGAATTTTCTCGAAACATACCTGGAAAACCTGGAAAAGTCAGGGAATTTCATTCTCCTGTTTGAGTGGCAACCCTGTGATGTCTATTCAAATTTCACGCTAGATGAATAAGTGTGACACTAGTATCGCCACAATGAACTTGCAAATCGGAGTTGCTTTATGCATGATGCAAGCTTTGTGTTCTTTATTTATCTTCCAGTTTGGGCATTGTGAGCAAGATCTGGGCCTAGAATGCTTTTAAGGAGATAAAGAATGCAATATCAACTAAGTTTGAACAAGTCCATATGATAAGGCTACTAGAAGGTGGATAGTACTGCAGGATGTCTTAACAGGATGTGAAGAAATGAGATTGGAACACCAATGAGATCACAATCCCTATGCATGTATGTGGGCAGCAGGGATCACAGTAAGGCCGTCTCAGGAAGGCTGGGATCCGTCTGCAATTATGCCACCAGTCAAGGGGAGGACCATCTTAATTGCCACATGTCTGTGGTCCATTGCATTGCATCTGCAGCAGACATTCAAGCTTTATTTTATGCTAGAATAACATAGCAAAGTGTAACAAATTGATTATTTGAGGGACAGCTCTGAGGTGAACATCCTGTAGCAGCCATACCACTAACTCAATCGCTGACATCTGTGACTTTGGTGGTGTGACTAGAGCTCATTCGAGAGCAGATTGGAGATCTGTTTGTGTTCTTAGATGAGACTTGTTTCTGTCTTCATGCTAATGGTGGCTGTATGTTGTTTAGAAGGAAGCCAGACTTGGAACCAACCTGTCTGCAATGTAGACACATCGGACCTGCACCATGAGTTATAGTTTGGGGAGCAATTTCCTGTGACAGCAGGAGCATTCTTGTCCTTATCTCACACGCCTTGACAGTAGTGACAACAGATTTATATGTTAGGCTGGTGACTGCACCAGTTGTGTTGCCATTCCTGAACTACATTCCAACTGGATAACACTCGTCCCCATACTGCTGTTATCACCCAACATGCTCTATAGAGTGTTCATATCTTGCCTTGGCCTAGGAGAGCATTTGATTATCTTCCCATTGAGCACACGTGATATAATTGCATGACAGAATTCAGTGTAATCATTAATTCGCTGGATGTTTGCTGATTTGACTGAAAAACTGCAACAGGCATTTTGCAAAATAACATATGGCAACTGTACAGCAATGCATTCTACGTTGTGCACATATGCATGCTTGCATTCAGTGGTGACTGCAGTGGTTTTTGATTTATCATTATTTGATATTTGAAATGACTCTTTTTGCTCATACTTCCACCTGTGAGCTTGAGAATCAAATAAATATCTTACCTAGACAAATGTTTTGCCTACATTTCATTCCTCTAAACTTATTTCTTGGTGTTGAAATTTCATTTTTCATCAGTGTAGTTGAGACGTGATCAGACACTTAGTGCTGGAAATTTTTAGATCCTGTGTGTCATTTATTAGAATTTAGTGGAGTTGGTAGGGAAAATAATTGACTCCTACTCCTGGAATTTTAATGACTCTGACTTCGACTAGACTCCAACGCCATCATATATGTATGTATATACACATATATGCATGGGTTATAGCTTATTTTTTAATATAAAAGAAGTAATAGATGCTACAGAAATAAAAAAATGATGGCATAGCAAATTATTTATATTAATTAACATTTATTATGAAATAGAAAAACTGGCATTGGTTATTTCTAAGAAATAGTATAGCTTCGGCAAGATCTTCTTTGGTGGAGGCCCATTGATCCGATTTGATAAACTTCAGAGCTGAGAAGAGTCTTCCCACACTAACTTGGAGTAGGAGGGAGAGCTGTTACTGTTAGGCTAACTTCCTTTAACTTTTGAGGATAGATTTGTTATAAGTACTACAGAGGTGTCTTGCAAGTGCAATCATACTTCTCTATTTCTTTAAAGGCTGTGTAGAAATCTTGTTTGTATTTTTTCATTTTTACATCTAAAGGCTTTTGATTTTTTATTTTCATTCGCTGTGCCTTAGCCTTTTCAATATTATCAAAAAACATTTCTCAAAATCTAATTCATCACTGGAAGAGGATGATAGAAAACACAGCTGGATTTATTTCATGAGTTGCACACTAGCATATTATTTTAATTTTTAATTATTTTGAAGTTTGTTGTCTTAGAATATTCTTTTTATAAACTTTTATTTAATTCATTTATGGTATTTGTCAAGAGTTTTTAACGCACTTCCTGATCTATAGAGTTCATATTTTATATGTACATTGTTTATGGATGACAACACAATGTGGTAATTTTTTTTTAATTCGATGTAGATTTTTTTAAAAATGGTTTAAACAATTTTTTGCCTACGTTTATGTGTAAAGGATAAATTAAAAATCTCAGAACTTTAAGGTTTGCAACATTACGTACAGTAGAAAAGTATCATTTAAATGAAATTTGTAACATTATTTTTGGTTTTTAGTGGATTTTAAAAAATTAATGGATTTTTCAACTACTTGACATGTTTGATTTTAACATTTCAACATCTTAAAAATGTATAAAAATAATGTAAAAAGTTTTTGAATTTTTCACAGCTTATAAAATAAATTCTTTGCCTTCTTTTAAAACAGAAACAATGTCATTAATTAGGCAATTTTCTGGACTTTATAAAAAGTACATTAAAATTTGAGACAGGAGGGGAATTCTATTTTTCACTGCCATGTCTCAAAAATAAGAAGACTGATTAGTGTTATAAGAATATTTACAATGAAATCTATCACATTATTTTATAATTTTCCCATTTTATAAAACTGTATACATTATTCTCAGCATTTCATTTTAAAACTAATTTTAAATTTATTATGGTATGTAATATATTCTTTTATGGGACTTTCATGACATCCAAATTTATAAAGATTTCAAATTTTCAGATGTTATAAAAGCAAATTGTTCACCTTCTTTTAAAACTAGAATGAGTAAAAACTTTCTGTAACTTTTAAAAACTGGCTGCATTTTTATAAGCATTTATGTCACTTTCTAATGGTGTTCATCTATGTGGACAAAACTTTGCCATCCATTTTAAACCATTCTCTGAATTCACATACACACACTATAAATGTGACAATAAAATGTGATACAGAAAAATTTCATAATTTGGTTTAGATTTTTTTAAACTTTAATCTTGAAAAATTTTTTTTGCACACATCTTCCTGTAACAAATATATTAAAACTGAGAGTGTTAGTGTTTGCACCATCGGATAGAGTATAGTAAGTTTTTAAGTGAAATTTTTAACATAATGTCTGATTTTTTAGCAAAAGTGCTGGAATTTTTGTATGATTTCACACAGCATTTAGAATGAAAAGAATGATTGTGCATGGTTAAAAAATGGTTTTCCTGTTGGATAGTTTGATTAATAACATTTCATGGAGATGAAAAGTTGAAAATAAAAAAAAAAATCTTAAAAAATAACACAAGCTTTAATTAAAACTTTTAAAATCATTAATGTAATCTATCATTCCAAAATCATCAATGTACTATCAAATAGTTTAATGGCAACAAGATATTAACTAATTCTCTTTACAAAATTCATCTACAGTTTTATATCACAAATAATAAAAGTGTATGTACTAAATAATGAACTTGAATAGCACTGCAGAAAGTATAAGCCAGCATCATTATAGTTTTATCAAGGACACTGTGTACATTTATTTGTAATATGAAATTGCAGATGAATTTTTATCAAGGGAATTAGTATTTTGATCTCATTATACTCCGTTTTTGCAACATATTTTTTCTCCTTTTAGTTCATTATTAATTTTACTAGTTTTACACAAAAGCTTGTTTTTAAAAGCTTTTATTTATTATTTATTGGAAATAAAATATATGCAAAAATAAAGAAATAAAGTAGCAGTTTTTTTATTACATGAAAATTATTGCACACAAAGTATTTAACATATAGTTTGTAACATATTTGAGAACATAGGCTATTTTTATTAACCTGTAAGTAAGAAAACAAATAGTATTTCTGACCATGAGTAAAACCACTGGTTTGTATCATCAATGATATATTATTTTACATGCTTAAAAATTTAGTCTTGGAACATATTCCCATTAGTGGTTGACTCAGTAAAACAGCTGAAGACTGATAGTTTGTCTTGGACTTGAATTCTGGAAAATGGCTACTTGTATGGGTGTTTTCATCGTTTTTCTCCATGTGGAATGTGAATATAAGCCAGTTTTCCATAGAAAGCCCTCCATGGAAGCAACCTCTCCTTTATTCAGATAGCACTCATGTTCTTTACTATAACCGATAAAACATATAATCACAAGGCAAACTAATTTATATTTTCTTGAAAGCTTAAATGCAATATAATTTTTATTTTAAGTGATATTATATTGATATAATAAAAGCTTCATCGTGTATAAAGCTTCATAGTTACATATTTTCTCGACTTTGCTTAGTAAGTTTAATTAGTGCATGGTGGAACTTTCTATATTATATTTAATATTTTCTTTATTTTTTGAAGAATGTAATAGAGATATTGGAAATCGCTCACTATTTTATAACTTCTAGGTTCTCTGAAGTGTCTGGATTTATAGTAACATTACTGCGGCTGTCTGAAGAATTATACCGCACTCGAACTGAAGCATCCAATATTGTATATTTGTGTGTAAATAAAATGAATCCAGATTATGTAAACATAGCGAAAAATTGTCATTTGAGACCACTTGGAGGTGTCAAAAAAAAGTAAGGCATTTTTGAATATTTTACAAAATGTATAGTTATTTAACAGTGTTGATATTATGGCCTTTATTTTCTCCTGAGCTAATCAACTTATGATCTTTCATGTATTTTCTTATTCAGTATGTTCATTAAAGTCTAAATCAAAAAAAAAAAAAAAAGTTTGAAAATATTTTATTTTAGTTGGATTAAATTTTCAGTGAGCAACTCTTGTAAAAGCTTTTACATTCTATTAGAACTCAAGTTAATTAATTAAAAATAACAAGTTAATTAATTAGAAAAGGCAACTGGAGGTGGGAAATACAAGATGAATGACAACACTTTCCCACCTTTTGTATTGCATACAAACTCTTTAAAGCAATACAAAACATTAACAAAATTATAACAGATTTACATTACAAAACCAAACAATTTTGTATATGACATTGCAAAAGTTAGGATTATTAACAGTTCACAAATTCCAGTCTTTTAGCAGGAATTTACAGATGGCATTATCGAGATTTCTTTCCTTTCTCGAAAACATAAGCCATCATTCGGAGAATTTTCATATAGCTTGAAAGTACAGGAATCTATCTCCAAATCTTTGTTTGTTTCCTGTAGCTAAATTTGTCACAACTGTCTTACGCCATTCTAGAAATGCTTCACCCGGAATCTCTGATACCTCAGAACATGGCAAAGATTCTTTGTCTTTAACAGCCAGCTTCGACCCTCCCACTATAGGCTTTCAGAGTTGCCAACTCTCCCGATATTTGACCGCTCTCCCGCCAACCCGATTTACAATATATTTCTCCCGACTTTTTCCATTTCTTAAAATTTCTCATGATTTTTATGAAACTTGGCTTATGAACAAAAAAAAAGTGACTTTGAACATTTGAAAGCAATTGAATTTTCTCTAGATTATATCTAAAACAAAACCTTGTGAAACAGATAACTTCTGCTTTGTGAGTGAGAAAATATACGTATCCAGAAACGTTGTTCTCCAATGGGCATCGATCTCCAGTGCGTGTCATGTGGCATATATTAGCCAATCAGAACAAAGCAAGCTGTTATTTGGATGTTCTTCAGTTATTTCTTTGATTTTGTCCTCAGTTGTGCCAGTACACGTGCCTTCGGGAAATAGTTTTAGAAATTATCATCTTTTGTTACGCATCCGAGAAAGGTGAAATACTCGAGTATGTTTCAAAAATCGTACAGACTTTCCTTCCATTATTTCCTCAAGCAAATGTAATAAATTTGCGATGTGTACCGCCTGTCGTTGCGATTTTTTTTCAATTTCTCATGGTGGAAGGGAGGATGTTCTCAAACATGTGCGTACACAAAAACACAAGGATAGCATAAGTTGTTTTGGAAAAAAACGAAAAATTAAATTTTTCTTTCGAAACAAAGGACCAAAAAGTAATTAATGCAGAATGTCTGTTCTCCGCCTTATTACTGGAGCACATCCTGCCACTGAATGCATCGGATCATGCTGCTGCTTTATTTGGAAAAATGTTTCCCTGATAGTGAAATCGCTAAGAAATACTGAAGTGCAAGAACCAAAACAGGTGCAATTGTTAAAGAAATGGTTTGAAAAATAAATCTTCAGTTATTGATTGCATTAAAACAGCTCCATTCTGCAATGGAAGCAATAATACCGATTCAAAACTGTATCCAATTTTTGTTTCATTTTTTAATGCAGAGTCCTTCAGAAATGAGTGCAGTTTACTTTGTCCCCACTTTTAGAAGGACGTTTGACAGGCTTTTAATGTTAGCACAGCTAATTATAAAACCTTAAAGAAAATGCAGTCCCTCTGGATAATTGCTTAGCACTTGGTGTCGATATGCACCAGTATAGTAGGCTTGAAGACTGATGTTGTAGGCATCTTAAGAAAAGGAAAATTCAGATTTGCAGATTTGAGGTGCACCTGTCACCTTTTAATTAGCATCTGAAAAGGGGCAGCTTCGTTACCAATAAATGTGGATGAAACACATTGTGTGATATTTATTATTATTGAAAGGAGTTCTCAAAAGGAAGGAAAATTGAAGCATTTCCAACAGCTTAACAGCAGTTTACAATTAGAAAACTTGGATGAAGTTATAAATCAGCTAGAATGACACCCAGTGGAGTTTAATTGGAAAACGGAAAATGTGCTGGTGGAATTTTAAAATATAGTGAACTGTCTAGAATTATGCTAGCCATTTTGACAGTTCCCCATAGTAATACAGAATGTAAGAGGATTTTCAGTGTTGTTGCGAAAAGGAGGACTAAATTTAGATCTAATAGTGATGACCAGAGGCGTAGCTAAGGTTTTAAGCGCCCAGGGACACCTAAATATTTTGCGCCCCTTTCTGTGTTCCAAGAATAGAAAATAACATTTGTACATAACATAACATTTCATAACATTTGTACGAAAACTGGTTTAAAGTTTTTTTTGTTTGTTGTTTTCATAAATGATGCAAGTAATAAAAATGTTTTTTATGTGTAAGGTATTTTTTGTGTTTGCTTGCATTTTATTAGTTACTTTTAAAGTTAATTCATTATAAAATACTATATTTTTATCATTTAAAAAGTCTTTTTTAAACAGTTGTTGAAAAATCTCCTGATTTCTTAAAAATCTTCTGATTTTTTGTTGTGTAGGTGGCAATATGCGGTAGGAAGTTCTTACCTCTGCTGAGAAGGGAGGGGGTGGCAGCTTCTTTACCAATAAATGGGATGAACCATGTTGATATTTATTATTACCTTGAAAGGAGTTCTAAAAGGAGGAAAAAATGGAAACAGTTCCAACAGCTGCATAAGAGCATTTACAGTTAGAAACTTGGATGAGATAGAAACATATAGGATGGCACCCCAGTGGAGCTTAATTGGAAAACTGAAGGGCTGGTGGAATTTAAAATATAGTGACTTTTTTAGAATTATGTTGGATATCTTGACGTTCCCCAGTAAGGCAGAGTGCGAAGGATTTTTTAGTGTTGTTGCGAAAAGGAGGACTAAATTTAGATTTAATATTAGTGATGACACATTAGAAAAGCTTTTATTAGTAAAAGCAGGCCTACATGGCAATTGCTGTGAACAAAATTATGAAGTTTCTTTCTTATAGAAAGCAAAATCTGCCACAGTTTATAACATTTATATGGAAACTGAGTAAAGTGTCTGTTGTTTGGTTTTCTTAAACAATGCAAGTAATAAAATTCAGGGTTCGTAGCTGTCTTTACAAGTGCTTATAATTCCTTATATTTGAAAACAAAATAAAAAGCCCTTATAAGGTGCTTACTTTTTTTTTTCTCTAAAGCGCTTATTTTTTTTTTAGTGCTTTATTTTTTTTTTTTAAGTGCTTTTTTTTTTAACGAATGCACTTTTTTCCACCGTGCCAAAGCCGAAACTGAATAAACAACTTTTCTTCTGTATATGGAACATCAGATGGTGAATCATACTCCCTGAAATAGCTTTTCGCCCCTTTCTCTGCATTAACATAACCTTTAGCAAAGAACGTCTATGTATTCAGCAATGTTTTTGTATGAACAATATACGAAGGCTATCCAGAAAGTAGATTACGTTTTGGAATAAAAAAATAAACAAAGTATAGGAAACAAATTTTATTATATACAGATGAAAGCCACACTCAAATACTACTTTTCTACATAGTCACCATACAAATTAAGGCATTTATCGTAGCGATGTACAAGCTTGGAAATTCCTTCGTCGAAAAATTCGGCCGCCTGCGCCTTCAACCACTTCGTTACCTCTTCTTGCAGCTGTGCGTCGTCATCAAAACGCTGCATAGCCAGCCACTTCTTCATTGCGGGAATAGGTGGAAGTCGCTCGGTTGCCATGGCGGACGTACGGCGGATGATGAGAAACAACTCCCACTTAAAAAGATTCAAGAACTTTACAAGTGACATTTGCCGTGTGGGGCCGGGCGTTGTCGTGAATCAACAAGATCTTAGAGCTCAACATTCCTCTGCGCTTGTTTTGAATTGCTCTCTGAGTTTTTGGAGAGTTTGGCAATACCTTTGAGAGTTTATTGTAGTGCCTCTTCTAGGAAGTCCACCAAAATTACACCTTTTCTGTCCCAAAAAACAGTCGCCATCATCTTCCTTGCCGATTGTTGCATGCATTTCTTGGGTTTTTGGGGGAGAACTTGTGTGCCCCACGCATTGATTGCAATTTCGTTTCACAGTTCACATTTTCACCCCATGTTTCGTCACCAGTAACGATGCGATCGAAGTAAAGAGTCACCATCCTTATGGTAAGCGTCCAAAAAGTTCAACGCTGCAGCCATTCGCTGATTTTTGTGGTCCTCTGTCAAGATTTTTGGAATCCATCTTGCACAAAACTTGTGGTAACCAAGCTTTTCGCTGATGATTTCGTGCAACAAAACTTCACGAAATTTGTGGAAACACTCAAAGAAGTTTCCGTTATTGTGAATTTCGATTTCACGGACTTTAGATCGAATTTTTTCGGGAAGTTCGGCGGTCACTATGCTGGTCTCCCACTTCGATCTCGTCGTGAACATTGGTTCGGCCATTTGAAATCTTATGACCCACTGACGCACTCCACCTCAGTGATAATGTTGTCCCCATACACTTCACGAAGTTGCCGATAGATTTAATCGGTTTACAGTTTTTGCAGTCAGAAACCTTATACGCACCTCGCAGCTCGCGGGATTTTTCAATTAACGCAGACTTTCAACCGTCACAGTATCTGAACGGAGCACAGCACGAACCTCTCACTAGCACGGCTAGATGCAGACTGAGCTGCGCAACGCTCTGACCCCAAGATGGCCGCGCTAGCCCCGCCCCTAGCGGACACAGACGGAAACGTAATCTACTTCCTGGATGGCCCTCGTAGATTGATTTTGTTCATAAACGCATTTCTCTCTCGTGTTGTTTTTTTATGTGTTCCTGCCTTAACCTGTCACTTTAGACCCTACATTCCTATAAGAAATGGACGTTTTAGTACGCTCCACCACCCCTCCAAGTTTGCCCTATGATCTGTGAAACACCCTGTATATTCTTTGCCTTTGGTG